AGAGAGAGAGAGAGAGAGAGGAGAGAGAGGAGAGAGAGAGAGAGAAGAGAGAGGAGAGAGAGAGAGAGAGAGAGAGAGAGAGAGAGAGAGAGAGAGAGAGAAAGGGCGAAAGTGAGAGAGAGAGAAAGGGCGACAGAGAGAGAGAGACAGAGAGAATTAGCTTGGAACAATAAAACGCTGAGATAAACAATAAATGAGATATTGTCTCAGATTCCTTGAGTGATCTCTTTAGAAACTCGAAGTCAGTTTAATATACGCTTAATATAAAATCCAACGACTTTAGATATAGGCTCTGAGTGAATTTATCCAAATTAAGTTATCTATTTCGCTCTTGAATAATTAATATATAAATAATTAATAGACATCGACAGTTTCCATGTACCCTATAATTAGAAAACTAGAAGGGCCTCGCTATAAAATGATTAGCGGATTCCAAATCGTTCAAGCTGAAGGTCGGGAAGCGAAGACCTCCAGCCGATCACTCCTGAAAGAAAAAGGAATTAAAGAATAAAGATAAATGATTATGAAGTTAATACATAATTGCATGATATATATATAGATATGAAATCGATAAATTACCAAAATGTATGTTAAGTGAATGATATTAAACAATGAATAGAAAAATGATAACAGCAAACATGTCCTTAATTGATACATGAAGAATGGTTGAAAAAGTAATAATAAACACTTTAGATATATGACGATGTACCTCCATAAAGTTAATAGATAAGCAAATAAAACGTCAAGGAAATATCTGGAGATATAGACATACGTAAAAAAGTGACAATAGATAAAGGAAAAAATATGAAGAAAAATATGAATAATAAGAAGGAGAAGGAAAGAATAGAAAGAAGAGGAGGAAGAGAAGCTAGGTATTTTGTCATCGGAAACGTGAGGTAAAGGGTAAATGTAGATACACGAAACATGCATACATAACGCACTTTGCATAGGAGAGGCATGGCCCTTAGACATTCCTTAGGAAGAAAAAGATAAGCATGAGCCCTTAGATATTCCTAAGGAAGAGAAAAAATAAGCGTCTTCAGAATAGACAAAGTCCCCCCCCCCTCTTTCCTCACTACTATCTTCCCCTCCCCCCCCACTCTTCCCGTTCCACTCTCCTCCCTCCTCTTCCCCCTCCCTCTCTCCTCCCTCCCCTTACCCCTATCCCCATCCCCTTCCCCACTTCTCCCTTCCCCTCTCCTCCTTCTTCTTCCCCCCCCCCCGTCCCGTTTCCCCGTCCCCCCCCTTCCCAACCCCCGCCCCCGCCCCCGCCTCCCCTGTCAATATCAAAGGAAGGAATTCGAGATTTTGCCTGATTTTGCACGTGTAATCCGCTGACTCAGTGCCAGTTCGCGCAAGCACTCGTTGGGGCGAATCCGATTGCGGAAAATTATCGGGTGTTCGCATTATCTTAAGTCAAGTCGTGTTACAAGTATATGAAAATTACCGACTTAGAGAGAGAGAGAGAGAGAGAGAGAGAGAGAGAGAGAGAGAGAGAGAGAGAGAGAGAGAGAGAGAGAGAGAGAGAGAGAGAGAGGAGAGAGAGATAGAGAGGTAGAGAGAGAGAGAGAGAGAAATTGAGTTAGAAACAAATAAACAGATAAATAGATAAATAGATAGAGAGAGAGAGAGAGAAAGAAATTGAGTTAGAGACAAATAGACAGATAGATAGAAAGAGAGAGAGAGTGTGTGTGAGAGAGAGAGAGAGAGAGAGAGAGAGAGAGAGAGAGAGAGAGAGAGAGAGAGAGAGAGAGAGAGAGAGAGAGAGAGAGAGAGAGAGAGAGAGAGAGAGAGAGGAGAGAGAGAGAGAGAGAGAGAGAGAGAGAGAGAGAGATGAATAGCTGGAGATAAACAGCCTGAAGCGAGACAAAGAGAAAGAGGAGAGGCAAAGAGAAAGCATAACAAAGAAAGAGCGATTAAGTGCTCACCTCAGTCTTGCGTGTCGACAAACACGACACACGCGAGCAAACGAACTGGGAAATATATTTTTAAGAAGTGAAGGGCAAGGAGTGTAATGTAATCAAATATATTTCTGTCTGAAGGAGGTGGTCTACACTGTATTGTCGTTTTTATGATACCTGCAATGTTTTGTTTCTCTCTCTTCTTCTTTTTCATCTCTCTTTGTTTATGAATCTTTTTTTTTTTGTTTATTTGTTGATTTTTTAGGGTTTTTTTATCTTTTACTTATCAGTTTATCTTTTTGTTCATTTATGTGTTAGTTTTTTATTTCATTTATTTATTCGTCTTTTTGTTATTTCTACTTATCTAATTTCCTATTTCATTTACCTATATGTCTTTTGATTTCTGTTTATCTGTTAATTTTTTTATTAATCTTTTTATTTTTTTTTCAAATAAGGAGCCTATGTTAATGGCTGATACAAGCGTTGCATACCAAGGAACATAACTAGAAGAGAAAGAATATCACACTTATATTCCCTCTACAGTAGGCTTATAATCAAATCCATCGGTTAATTGTGTAATTAAAGGTAGGGAGACATAT